AATAACGCAAGAGCAGGTAAATGTCTATGTCTTAATGTCACTGGCGCCAAAATTTTTAATTTCTAAGGCGCATGAATTTTCCTAAATTGTGACAGCTATAATAATGATAACAAATCAACATCGTCCTAGATTGACGTCAAGAGTAAAGGTGTCCAAAATCCCTAAAAACACCTTAGGCTCGAATCTTCATATTAGTCAGAGTAGAGCGTTTGCCAAACAAATTTCAATTAGAAGAAGTAAGAAATAAATCTTCTTCAATGCCTCTTTTGAGTCACCTTAAAGTAGTAAAAAGCGTCTTGAGGGACAGCAGTAAGGGACCATTCTCATATCAATATCCAATTTCTCATATCAGTTTCTCGTTTTGGCAAAATCGTCACAATAAAGTAACTTTCATTAGGTTTGGATGTTATCAAAACTGGAAACGGGCAACGGGTAATGATCACTGGGACGGAAAAATGACAAATGGGAACAAAACAGAGAATTGGAAATGAGGTTACTGAGAGCTCTAAGTTTTAAATTAGCTGTTGTTCAGTTTTGTTCCCATTTTTTATTTGCCTGTTCCCAGTGCTCGTTACCCGTTCCCTGTTCCCCATTTTAGTAATTTTCTTTGCATTAAATTTACAAAACACATGTATGCAATTCAATTGATAATAGTAATACTAAAACATCCATTAAATTCAAATACAGAAATGATCATGAATCGACAAAATGAAATTTATGTTTAAAAAAATTATATCACACAGGGTGTGTCTTTCATTGCTGTTGGCCACAATCATATTGATAAACCTAGAATAAAATGAGAATTCATACAGTTATAAAAGGATCGATCAACAAGTTCAAATGTCTCTCTAAAAGTAATTTTAGACTACCTAGCCAAAACAAAATCACTTTGAACTGTCATCGATCCAAACCCACCACGAAATTATAGGAAGCATCAGTTACATTATTCATATCAATAAAATTCCTTGTTTTTCCATTTTGTAGTTAATTGCGTAGGGTGGTGAACGCCGTCGCACGTAGCGACAGATGTTTTAGTGTTTGATGAATGAAATGGCCTATTTTAATTTTAAAAAATATACACTGTAAAGAATATGACTGGTTCTAAAGTAACCTTTATGATGTTCCGTTTCATAAGCTATTTACATCCTCTTTAAAATCCACATTTATCCATTAGGTCTTCTTCCTTACATGTAAATATTAAAATGTTTTAAATATCCAGCAACTGAAGCCCAAATGACATCACAAAACTGTCACGAAGTAAAAGTAATTTTCATTAATGATGAAGGTGATTACTTCTTCCTGCTGCCTTTTTCTTCTAATTAGCAAAAAACAAATTTGCACGTGGCACGCTTTTTTGTCTTTCCCTTGCCGTTGTTTTGCACGACTAAAACGCTGTTTTGTACGACTAAAACGTCAAATGTCCTAGTTACACATTATTTCTATGGAGGAATTGTCGTATGTGCTTACTCAATATTTTGTTTCCTGTGTTCATGCTGGCTAAAAAGCTTAACACTAGATGCCTGGTTATTAGCGTCGGAAATTACCCTTGCTGCTCTCTTTTGCAGCTTAAAAACACAGCTTAAACTCTCCTTATCACAACTAGTCCAGATGGAACTGACATAATGCAATACAGATCTTATCATAGTATTATAATACAATAGCCTTTGTCTCGTGGGCAGGCAAGATCTTATCTTTTTTAATACGCCAATTCGCTGAGACAACTTTTTACAAAGTTTCTCTACATGGTAAGTAAATGAGAGTTCAGAGTCAATTTCAAGACCTTTCGAGACAGCTTAGCACAAAGTGAAAAAAAAAAGCCACAAAATGAAACAACATATCTAACATTGAACTTAATTTTAGAGTATGCTTTGTTGATATCGCCGATTCCACAGCAAGAGCCCCAAAGAGGGCGAAACAGCTATGGCTACAATTTTGAGTTCTTTCGGTGTCGTGTTGGTGTCTTGCAGAGTTAATTTTCACGTAGTACGATCAGCATCACAGTATTCTGCTTGCAGAATTTATATGTGTCTGCACATATTGGTCATCAATGTTTTGACAGCTGTCAAAACAGGTTACCTGCTGACCAGTATCACCTGACCGTATCGCGGGCTCAGGAGTCGACCCATCGGGGTCAAGTATTTTTTTTTGAAGTTTTCCGCTGACAAGTTACTAGTTTTTAAGTGATCGAAAGCTCAAGTTCAACTTTTTTTAAAATTTACATGAAATATGTTGTGTTTATGTGATGCACAATTAAAATTTTGATTTCAAACTGACCTCGGAAGCGAAAATTCAGCCAGCTGTTACAGGCAGGGAAAACAGTTGCTTTTGACTTTCCTCACCATGGTCACGCGTTGGTCACGCTCTACGTCCAATTTTTATGCTCTGATTGGTCAAAATTTGACAGGTGAGGTCATGCGGAAAATTCATGCAGCATCTTGAATCTTGTTTACTTTGACAGCTGAAGTTGACAGAGTTTTGTGTCAACTTGTGATGTTATTAA